GCTTAACCGATGACCTTGGCATTCCGAAAAACAACGGACACTGTGGTTCTATTGGTGTGTGGCGGGTGACTGCAAGTTGTTATTTGCGCAATCTCGCGTCAAGACGTTTTTCTGTTTTACCAAAATGCCGCAAGTTTGACATGCTATACTTAGATCACTGCAGTTGGTTCTGTTATTGGTAGCGGGCCTTCAGTACTCATGATTTACTGTCTGATGGCAGATTCCGGTTTATGAGAGAAAAGATTTCAAGATTCTCCACATTCCCCCTTTTTCCCACTCCAAATGTTAGTGCTCTTTTCTTCCACTGTATCTACAATATTTCAGGCACTTGACGTAATCATTCATATCCTAAAAATGGGTTAAAGATTCCCCATGCGAGATGGGAGGCTAGTCTGTCATGACTTGTCGCAACAGACCTCTCTATTCCTACTAGATTAAAATTCTGCCCATTTTTTATAGAATCGTATTTGATCGGTGGATTGAGGTAGGACTTCTGGATGCAGAAGCCGCCCAGCGATCTCTGGCAGCAGCAATCTGGCTCCGAACCAGCCTGGATCGACTACTTAAACTGAAGCTGGCTGGTAAGTCGCCGCGCTCGGAATTCGCTATCAGAATCTTGATCCATTGCTGTCATAACCGCCGACTGTGTAAAAGTAGGGGCTGTCGATCCACACACAGCCCAAAAGGGCTTTCTGCGAGATGTATTTTAAATTCATACCACCTCTCCTCACTGCACACCGTACCCGAACCTCTGTCACTTTATGGTTTTGTCGTCTTCTCCGGCCTGAACACAGTAACACTAAGGTACCGGAAAGATGCTACCTTGTTGAGGAGAATGTCAATGGTTTCAGGACTGGGAGGGGATCGCAGTCGAAAAACACTGGATTGACTTCCGCTCGTTAAGTAGGAGGCCATTTGCTGACGACCTTGCTGTGACGTAGTTCAGGCTATCTTTTAGTACTTGGAGATATATCTGACTTTTTAGAGGATGGATAACAACCAAATCATCGGCATATTTAACAAATAAACATTCATTTAGCGATGGTAGGTCGTCAGTGTGAAGGGCGAAGAGGTGAGGAGATAATATAGACCCTTGGAGAACTCCACAGTTGTTGGGAAGGACAGTAGATTTTCGCTTGCCGGACTGAACGAATTGAGTGCGGTGAGTGAAGTAGTCCCCAAGCCAAGAGAAAGCCCAGCCAGGAGAGCCGCATGCAGAAGTTTTATTAAGAATAAAATGACGCGGGATCGTATTAAAGGTTGATAAATAGTGGAGAAAAACAAATCCGTATGCACGGCAGCCTCTATCTAACTCTCTTAGAGCAGAATGAACTGCCAGAGCAACAGCGTCTAGTGTACTACGTCTAGCCCTATACGCAAATAGCGGGGGATCAGAAAAATCGGAAGAAACAGTGCAATTATGTCTAAGGCAACTCGTTCTGTAAGTTCCAATAGTGCAGAATAGCAGGCGATTGGACGAAAGGATTTGGGACCAGAAGAAGAGGTTTTTTTTCGGGATGGGCGTGATTCTCATTGATCGCCAATTGTCGGGAATCTTAGACTCTAGGAAGGACAAGTTGATGAAGTGTCTCAATGCAGGGGCTAACTGAAAAGGACAGGCTTTCAGGATAAACGGCGATATCTCATCTGGTCCGGCTGCTATTGAACCTCGAATCTTTTTAAAATGTTTCAGCACTGTTGCTGTAGACACAGGAGCAAAGACACTTTGTAATAAGGCAATAGCGTTTGTCGGAAGATGGGAGTGTGGATGAAGGTCACATCCATGGGACTGAAAATTCTCGACCGCAGACGACAGAACACGGGTCATGACATAACGTTAGCGTTTTGAATTGAAATACTCTTTGATCTCGGTTCGGATTCAAGTCCACCGTCTTTGCGAGCAGGGGTTTCGGGTTGGTCCAAAGGAAAACAGTATGCTCAGGTCGGAGACGATTATCAAGCTTAGGGTAGGGTCCAAAGAGTGGCATATTCAGTCACGTTGATGTGGCCTTCTATGCCCCCGCCCCCGGTGGTGCTGAGAACTAGCAGCTCCGTTTCGCTTGAGTTCTGGCTCCGGAGTCCGTTTTGGTGCAGAATGTCGGAGAGTAATCAAAAGTTTTCGTAAAACGGTGAGGGACATTAGACATGCCAGAGTTAGACCGTAGCTAGCTGAGGACTACGAAGGTACCTGCTTCCTGTCGTTCTCGGTAGCATTTCTCGTGTTAGAGCCTGTCTACGTTGTAGAGGTTTAGTTGTCTGTGAATTTATTCTAAAATCAATCATGATTCTTAGTCTTCGGCGAGTAGTCAGGTATCTACGTGTTCGCGCCCGTGTATTCGAACGTACCAATTAAACTTGGTAGTACTCCCTTACAACAGTTTAAGGACTCAACTACCTTGACAATATTTTCCTAGCAGCACAATAATATTGGCGACACAATGAGTACTTTCTATAGTGACTAAAGTATTCATGGGAAAAGATAATTGGGCGGGTGGTCGGCCGGATCCTATCGACCAAGCCTATTATGAAGGACCTGAATGGAGTCAGATGAAATCAAGATGGCGATGCTACAATAGCATTGTGCACTGTCTAGAATGTAGCGACACTCGGACTAAAGTCTCGGTTGAAAAAAGCGGTAACTTCGCGCCTCGATTTGGGCTGTGGTTTAAAAGGTGTCACCGCATACTCCTTTGGATGTTGAACATTTCTATCCTCTTCGCCTTTCTGTTTTCTGCGCAGAATCCCAGGCACGCCGACTAAAAGTGTCAGACGAGGACAGCGGAGGCGCTGAAGGACTTAGCGGCGCCGGCGATAACACGTTGGATACGTCAAAACCCGCGAGAGACGCTCGTGCTCTAGAATGTCGACGCCTGCAGCGTCTTCTGTGTGAGCACCTAGCAGCTTTTCTGGGTCGCAATGGCGGCGGCCTTCACACCCTCAAGAAGCTACACGCGGCGGACGTTAAGAAACTGTTTGTGCAGTCTAAGTCCGATGCGACAGCCGCAGGTACCTGCTAACCATTGTTTCATGTATCTAATGCCTTTGGTGCCACCCATGTTCCCCCTTCAGATGTTTGCATTCATAACTAGGCTAGCTGTTGCTCTTGCGGGCTTAGTAAGCATTGTGCGGAACTGCAGTCGGGAACTCTCTTGAAAATTATTCAGTTTCACCTCGATTTAACGCAAAAGTTGATGCCATTGACTTCACTCTTTCTTTGCTCTACATTTGGCCCACGTAGTAGGCATTGGTGCCCCTTTGGAACTCAAGTGTTTCACTATTCACTAATTTGCTTCGACCTTAGGTCAAGCTGTCCGGCTCCAGTATCATTTTTAAAATTTCTGCTGTGCCCAATAGTCAATTGTTTATAGAATGCGCATTAAGATAGTAGTTTGTTCCTTCCCCATACTTAAGGAACCGAGTTGTTTTTGCAGCGAGCTGCTAGTTAGTTCCTTCAGCTTTGCAATCCATTCCGAAATCGCTAAATTGGATTAAATCAAACGAAATTAAGCTTTATAGACTCGGCCTGAAGGATGGTATGAATATTTGGGTCGGAATCCCCCAACTACAGCGTTGACTCGATTTGTCCGCGCCAAACGGCCCTCATTAGTCGGGGAAACTAACCACTGGGCTAACCTTGTTGTGCATTTCGGGTAGAACATGCACAGGAAAGTTATCCTATGTTTTTCCCCTATTATATTGGATTCCTACCCATTGGCTTTGTTGAAATTTTTCATTATTTTCTTTTGCTCTAGCTTCTGCGAAAGCTGACCACGTTCATTTGAATCCAGAGAAGGGCGGCTACCAAGTCACGCCCTACTTAACCATCGACTCGTAAGTTTTTCTGCGCTTGAAAACATGCCATTCTTCAACGGTTCACAAACGTAGAAGTACGTATCCCAGGTTACGGTACCCTCATACCCTCCTGTCACTTCATGTATGTTGGCTAGACGCAGGGGATACGTAACTTTCCTCTGCCTTACCACACCGACCAAACACACACGGTGCCACACGTGCGTCAAGTTGGTTTCTAGTGTCCTGCATACACGGCCAGGTTTATGCATCGTTCTGTTTAAGCTGTGACAGTCTTGATAGGGAGCACACGCCCAAAACCTGTGGAAAATTTGAATAGGGTACTGATGCAACTTCCATTTCACCTCGCCACAAATTGGGCCTTTATGTGCATTAGCTCTACCTCTGATTGTGTTGGTCGGCAGCACGGCGGGCTGACTATGGCAGTAAATACGCCGAGAGCAGGCGCTCCATGTTTCAAGTTTACCTTGCATAGTACTTGAAGTACCAGAAGTGGAATCAGACTTAAAGTGGGAAAGGAAAATATGTGGACAGCCCGAGCTAGACTCGAGTCTCCAGCACCACAAAACACACGTGCGCCTCCCGCACTTCTCGGTGTAGGCATGGCCTTATAGCGCCATTTGCCAGATTATCACTAAGTCTTGTAAACTAAAATCGTCTGTCACCAAACGGTCCTAAACTACTGCATGTCAT